GAGGAGGTTTTTCGTTTTTTAAAGGGGTTTCGTCTACTGACGCTCATGACAAAAATTCTGAAGAGACGAGCGAGCGCCGCACCAGAACCCCTTTTGGAGAGCCTATGAATGACCTTTAATGAGACGGGCCTTCTCCAGTGTGCATAGAGGAAGGCGCAGGAAGTCCCACGTTGGCTATTGTTTCACAGCTACCTGGAGCTAGTTCTCCACTTGCTAAAGAAACAGGTCCCCGTCTTCGTTCCGCCGCGTTCAATTTGACGCGATCTGCCGCAGCAAAGTGAGCCCGTTGCAGCAGAAAATGTGTGCGCCGCTTGATCCAGGCGGGACTGGGCGTTATTCTACTGGACAAACGCGCTGTACGACAGCTATCTGGACAGCCAACGAGGGGTCCACAGTAAGCGAGACCCAAATAGTCGGGAAGAAGACGTGGCCAGGAACTTGTGCATCCTCATCGACCCAAAGAAGAACCCGGACTTGTTGCTGCACGAGTTTAAGCGTGAACTGGACGAGCTGTCCATCAAACGAGGTGACGCGCTGGGCAGACTGGCCGAAGAGTCTCTGGACACGCTGAAGGAAATGTGCTTCTCGCCGGCGCTGGAGCTGCAGCTGACGCACAATATCATCCAGAACGCCTTCAAGGACTACGACAAGGAAGAGTGGGTCATCGACGTCAACAAAGAGCTCACCGTGACTGACGTTATTGTCGAGTGCTTCCCGCTACACGACCGAGCGTTCAACAAGCAGTTTTTCGACGAGTACCGTAAGCGAACGTTCGAGTTCAATCTACGCAAAGTGGCAGCAGGAAACAGCGATCGCTGGGCGGTGGAGGAACTGCGTCTGCACTTCGGAGAGCGCGTGGCCTTCTTGTTCGCCTTCATGCACATCTACACGAAGCACTTGCTGCCTTTGACGCTGTCGTGTCTGTTCTACTACTTGTGTTACCGCTTCACGTCTGCGCCCACGTGGAAGCAATACATGGAGGGATTGGCAGTGATTGGCGTCTGTGTGGTCTGCTTCTGGGGTCCTTCGTTCCTCGTCTGCTGGCCGCGTGATACTTGAATGTCAATGCGGCGTCCGTGATCAGGTACATCTCGGAGTCGCAACTTCTTGGCAAAGGCGTCAGTGATCACACTAACGTTCGCTCCTGTGTCGAGGAGGATCCTCGTTTGCTGGTCGTTCACAGCGCCTTGCACCAGAGCTCTCATTCTGATCCGTCGGTCGAATTTCTTGGCCGACCACCACCCCTGTCTCTCGCCAGGGTTCAGCTTCATCATCTTAGAGTGACCCTTGGGCTCGTCTCGCGCTGCACTCGAAACCAAGCCGAGCGAATCCTCGCTGGTGCCCTCATCAGCATCAGCACACTCCACTCTCTCTCCAACACCTCCACCGAGGATTCTACTCCTCTCCTTTTCATTTTCCGTCGCGTTCACACTTGTTACGTAATTATCAGGCCATTCACTCTGCCCCATGAAAGCAAAGATACACTCTGCTTCCATTGAAGGCTCGGTTAACTGTGGCAGCCCGATAGGGACCAACCCAGTTGTAGTTGGCGGGCTGCCTAGTTTAAATGACGTTCTTGAACGACGGCCTTGAGCTCTGGCGGGAGTTCCTCCTTCGTGCCTTTAGTGCGCACGAATTTGGCAAGGTCTTGGAAGTTGCGGAAAAGTTCGCATTGTCCAGCATCGTAGAGCTGTTTGCAGAGCTTGCATCGCTTGTTACAGTAGTGGGCGGAGTGACTCATGCCGCCGCACACCGCGCATGGTCCGTACTGTGGGCGTCGGTTGTCGCGGTTGAAGTCACGTCGACCGCGTTGGTCCTGATTGAACCCACGGTCACCACCTCGGTGATCTTGATTGAAGCCATTCTCTCGATCAGGCGTGTTTCCACGCGGTTGACGGTTGTCCGAACGTGCGTAGGTGCCTTCAGCAGCTGCACGGCGCTCGTTTTCGTTAGCAGCAGCGAGGTATCGGTCGTTTTCATCCAATGAGAAATCGCCATCCGTATTATCGGGCTGAAAGTCGTTGTACTCATCTTGGACATTGTCGTAAGCGTTCGGATCTTCGTTTGAATACTCGTTGCCTCCTTGAGCAGCTTCACGACCTTCTAATTCAGCTAGTAGGTCGTCCAACGTAGCTTCAATGAGTGTCACTCTTGGTTTGTTGCGGTTGTCATCGCGGCGACGGTCATCACGCCGGTTGTTGCGGGCGTACCCATCGTCGCGTCGCGTATCACGACTCTTAGAATATCGGTACTCACTGTCACGCTTGGCCATTCTCTCCTTGCCCTTGAGAGCATCTTCGATGATCTCTTCGAGCTCGTGAATGTCGGCGACTCGAGCGTGGTAGAGACTCTCCGCTAGTTTGTCATCGTCGCATGTTGCCAGGAACTGCTGTACGTGTTCTTTCGCGTCGCGACCACTCTTCTCAAAGTGTAGACGGGCGGTCCGAGCGTAGCCGTTCAGCCTGTTTATGTAGTCGCACAGATGTTCATTTCGTTCCCGCTTGGCGTAGTAGTAACGCGACAGTGCCGTCTGCGTGAACTGCGAGCAGTAGTAGCGGATGAACGCATCGCTCAGCAGCTTCCACTTGCGTTTCGTCTTCTTCGGAAGTTGACGGAACCCAATGAATGGCTCCGTCCCGGAGACTTAGCTCAAATGGAATGCACCATTTATCGGCATCTGTGTGGGTTCCAGTCATTTCATAGACGAACCCACGGAGCCACTGCATACAGTTCTCGCTCTTGTTGCGAGAGCCTGAGAACGGCGTGATGCGATCCAGCGGTCGGTGCGAAGCCATTTCAATCCTCGGTGTCGGGTCTACGTCGTTCAGCGTCGCTAGCTCATTCATCTGACGCATCAACTCGAGTTGATGATCTTCCTCGTCGAATGTACGCACCAAAATGTCATCGTCACTGGACGAACCATCGCTGTCGACTTGACGACGTCCGGCACCACCTTTGGGGGCTCGCGCACCGCCTCGGCGACCGAACGAGCTCTCGTTACTTGCGTAAATGCGTTGCATACGGCTCTCCGAACGTGGCGTAACCATGTGCGAGTCTTGAAAGTACGGTGAAGCTTCGGTAGTTCCAAAGGCACCACGCTCAGCTCCACGCTTGGTCGGAGGAGTACGAACGAGTCGTTGGGGCGTCGGCGGCAGTGGAATCTTAGACGGATCTTCATCTTGAATCATCGGTCGACTCACAGGCTGCTTTCCGGCATTGATGCCAACAGCGCCAAACGCCTTCCGAAGCTTCTTCTTCCATTTCTGGAGAGCAGCTCCGGCTTCATGTGGACTCCA